TCTCTCCTCCCCCAGTGCTGGCGGCCGAGGTGGTGAAGTTCTTCTTCCCCGCCATGGTGCAGCTGCACAGCTACGTGCCCGCCAGCTCCACGCCGCAGAAACTGGCCAACTGGGGGCACCTCAACAGGTACCGGGGCCAGTGGCCCCCCGGCTGCCCCTCGCTGTGCTGTCCCTGTTCATCCTGGCTGCGGCCCAGGCACCCAGCTCAGGGCGCTGCAGGCAGGGGGTCCCTGCCTCCCTGCCCCTCCTGGGTGCTCATGTGGCTCCTCTTTTAGGAAAGCGCTGAGTAAGCTGAATTTCTCCATCCCGGAGGAGGTGATCCGGCAGGTCGTGCAGTGCCGGCCGGGCGCGGTGGAGCAGGTGCTGCTCCTGCTGCGGCAGAAGATCGAGGAGAAGCAGAAGCAGAGCAAGGCGGTGACCGGCCCGGGCCAGGTCAGCGGGGCCTGGGGGAATGGGGGCGCCCGGCGTGCCGCGTCCTGCTTGTAGGTGCCGTGGGGGGGGGCTGGGCGGCGATGAGGGCAAGTAGCCGCCCCACAGAGAGGTCGGTGGCATCGGGGCAGGGCCAGGGGAGCCAGGCTGAGCCCCAGATGTCCTTGCGGGCATTGCTTTTCCCCACTTTCTCATCGTCAGGATCCCGCTGCCATCTCCCTGTCTGCAGCTCCGTGGGGAAGCGCAGTGGGGGCGTCCGGAGGCAGGGGAGCCCCTCGCCTGGGCAGAGCCAGGGTAGGAGCACCCCACCTGGAGCGATGCAGGCGGCGGGGCCGGCCTCGCTCAGCGGCCGCAGATGGCAGCCGTGCTCCGTTGTGGGAAGCACTGCGGCCCCGCTTGCTCCGCAGCCTTGGCTTGGCCCAGGAGGAGCTGCTGCGAGCTGGGGAGGAGAGGGGACGTCGTCTCCATCACCTTCCTTCCCCACCGCCCTCCTCACTGCGCTCCCTGCTCCCGCGAGGCCCCTGAGGAGGAGCAGGGAGGGTGTCGGGGGTTGCGTGGGGCTTGGCAGGGGGTGCTGAGCCCACAGCTCCAGGACGGGGCAGCTGCCTCCTCTCCTGCCCTGAGCAAACCCTCAGCCCACGACCGTCCCAGTCCTTGCGGTGTGAGAGAAGGAGGATAATGAACGCGCGGGGCTGGGGCAGGCTGGGCTGTCTCTGCTGGTGACTCCGGTGCTCAGGTCAGAGGAGGAATTTGCGATGGGAAGGGCTGTGGCCGTGAAGCAGGCAGGAATTCAGGCGGATGGATCCCAGCCCTGCCTTCGGGCTGTAACATCGGCAGAGCCGGCACCGCAGCAGCGCTGGGAACCCCCTGCTCTGAACTGGCCTCTCCCACAGGCCCTGGGGAGCAAACCCCCGCCCCGGTGCTCTCCCAGCGCGGCGCAGGGAGGGGTGGCACAAGCAGCCGGGGTACCCCGTCCCCCCTTCTCCTGACACGGGGGCCCAGCCAAGCCCCCTCCCGGCACAGGGGCCGTTTGTGAGCTCACCCGCGGGGCGACCCACGGCTCACGGCCAGGCGTGACGGGTGCTTTCCTGCCTCTCCGTGCAGGAGCCGGGCCTACGGGCAGCGCTGGAAGAGGTCAGCTACCTGGAGACGGGTAGGGCCGGTGCGTGGCACGTCGGGAAGGAGGGTCCCATCCTGAGAAAGGAGGCTGAGGGGAGCCCTCATCGCTCCCTAAGATACCTGAAAGGAGGCTGGAGCCGGGGGGGGTCGGTCTCTGCTCCCCAGGAACAAGCGATGGGACGAGAGGGAATGGCCTCAAGCTGCGCCAGGGCAGGGTTGGGTTGGGTATTAGGAAAAGCTTCTTTACTGAAAGGGCTGTCAGGCCCTGGCCCAGGCTGCCCAGGGAAGTGGTGGAGTCCCCATTGCTGGAGGGACTTAAAAGCCAGGCAGACGTGGTGCTGAGGGACATGGGTTAGTGGTGACCTTGGCAGTGCTGGGTTAACGGTCGGACTGGATGATCTTAAAGATCTTTTCCAACCTAAACGATTCTCTGATCCTGTGATCCTATCCCGGCCCTGCTGTGGGCTCCCCCAGTCCATACCCCAAACCGTGACCTTTCTGGTCCCTGCTGGGGGCACACACAGCCCTGCCGGGTGCTGGGGCACCCAAATAATGAGCCTGGGCGGCCGTGGGGGGACGGGAGACACTGCTGGAAGGGGGTGTCCCCATGGTGGGGGCAGAGCTGTTTGGGCAGATCGTGTGCTAACCGCTGGGCTTTGCAGGCTGCTCAAAGGCGAAGAGCGGCGCCGGAGGAGGCTACGCCCAGGAGTCTCCCAGAGCTGCCGGGTAAGGGCTGCCGGTGGTGCCCGCCGGTGGCGCGCCCTCCCCGGGGGCTTCTCGAGGGAAGGGGCTCTGGGGGTCCCCGCGGGGGTCGGGGAGCCCTGTGCCGTGGGGGCGGTGGCGTGCAGGGCAGGCCGCGGAAGAGCTGGGCGTGCGTGAGCGCCGCCGGCTGTACAGCTCCATGGGCTGCGAGCAACGCTGCAGGAGGGGTCAGTTATTGTCCCGGCCTTTCCTTTCCTGGTTCCAGGGTGAAGAAGAGCCGCCACGGCTGCGCCCAGGCTCCCCCGGGGGACGCTGACGTCTGCCTGCAGCTGGCGGAGAGGGAGCAGGCCCTGCTCCTGGCGCAGGAGACCATCCAGGTGAGGCCACCCTCCCTCGCCCCGGCCAAGCGCTGTCCCTGTGGCAGCACCGAGGCAGGGACAGACGCCCTTCGCCTCCCCAGCCCTCCTGCCGCCGTGCTGTACACCACGGCCCAAACGCGTTCGCCCGGTGCCGTCAGCCTCCTGGGCTGCTCTGGTCTCTGTGCCTGGCTCTGGGGGCACCCTCGGGCACGGGCCAGCCTGGCGGTGGCTTTGCCGCGGTCCAGCTGGCCAACATCTGGCTCGGGTGCTCCTCTGGCTGCTCCTGGGCAGTGCTGGGCTCCTAAAAGGTCTGGTCAGACCAGGCTGGAAAGGCAGCGAGCGCTCGGCATGGCCCGGAGACGTGGTTCGGTCCCCGCAGCCCTCGTCTCCTTCCACAGCAGACGGTGTTTTGCCAACATTTCCCGGGTAAAAGCCCTGGTAAAGCCCCTGCCTGCGGGTCTCCCCCGGGGCAACGGCTTTCTCTCCCAGTCCTCAGTCTCTGTGGCACGCGCCCACGTCAGTCACATCAACCCGTCATTCCCAAATGTTCCCGATCCTCCTCCTTTCTGGTCAGCCTTCCAGCCCGCAGTCACGAGGGTGATGCGGAACGGGCGGCGCAGCAGTGCAGACCCTCTGTGGGCGGCTTGCCGTGGCCGCCGGACCGTCCCGGGGCGGAGGGCACCCCTCATTCGGCCGCTGGTGATGTTGGAAACAGCTTTATGCAGCACCGAGCCAGGGCAGCGGCTCTGTTTTACCTAAAACCAGGGTTTTTCTGCTGGAAAACGCCTCCTAAGATGTACAATTTTGAAAGAGGGGGCATCTCGGATGGGAAGAGTTGTCTTCACGTCCTGGTGGGGAACTGGGACTCCCGGGCCGTGTTTTGGGGGAGCGTTTGCTTGATGCGGGTTGTGGGAGCAGGAATAGCGACCCCAAACCTGGCTGCCTGTTTCCCCCGTGGTTAAAGACGGCCAATGCCGCTCAGTGACTCCAGCAGCCGCCTCAGCCTGGCCCTGGGTCCCCCGTCCCCGCCGTGCCCCCCGTCCCCGCTGCTGGCCGCGGGGGCTGGATGTGCCTCCCGCCCCCCGAAACCCAGCTGAGGGGGTGTCGGGGGTCTCCGCTCAGATCCTGCGGCTGAAGGTGGGGAGGCTGGAGCAGCTG